CCCCACCCCCGGCCCTGTCCCGGCCGCGGTCCCCACTCGCTGCAAGTTGGGGTGTGCGGGGAGCACGGGGGACCCGATGGGGGGACTGCCCTCGGCCCTGCATACCTTCCAATAAAGAACCCCGAGCCGGCGCAGCTGCTCCAGGCCGACCGGGCGGTTGGGCTCGGCGCGATGGGGCCGCCTCGGGTCGTCGGCGGACTCGTCCATGTACCAGGCCTCCACCATGGCGGAGCCGGGGCGCCGCGAGCACCCCCTGCACGCCCGCCCGGCTCCCGCCCCTGACCCTGGCCCGCGGCTTTGGGAGGCAGCGGGGGAAGAGCGGGTGCGCCGCGCGGGGAGGCCCTTATCCCGGGGCGGCCATGCGGGGCGGGGCCGGCGCTCCCGGCGGGGGGAGGGGCGGCGGAACCGGGGGCAGCTGCGAGGAGGAGGGGGCTCAAGGGGGCGGGACGGAGATGGGGGAGCAGCTGCGGGGAGGGGGGTCCAGAGGTCATCTTGACTAGAACAATCTGGTGAAACAAGCAATACTGACATGAAACAATTTATACTTTAGAGGACGGAGATTAAGTGCCACCAAAGAACCCACGCCACCCATGTGGGGCACAGCGTGTCTTCAGGTCAGGTCGCGTCACCACAGAGGACCCAGGTGTCACTCAGGGTGGAATACCGCGTCCTCTCCATTCCCCCCATCTTTGCAGTATCAACAGTCTGCTCTGCATCTCCCTTCCCCATATGGCGGGTTATGTTCTAGGGGAAGAAAAACAAGCCTGCCCTTCCCATTCCTTGAATTGATCATCTGTTTAGCAGATTAGGAAAAAAAGGTTCATTTTTTCAAAGCAATCAACCAGAAAAGATCCGATCATCCCGCCATCCGGCACAGCCTCTACAGGGAATCAAGTAACTGGGAAGCCCATGGGACTGAAACTAGACCTAAGCCGGCACATCTCCAGAACCTACAGCCCACTCTGAGCTCCAGGAACACTGTACACGAAGCACACATACACTTTGTGTCGGGTCCGCTGCTGCAGTCCCACCTCTCCCTCTTCACATGCGTGACCGGCTGCTGCTTGTCCCCCAGGGGGACACCTTCCACGTCACTGCCCATCTTCTCCTGTGCTTCATGACCTTGTCTCTGATGGGGGTTGCACCCCACCAGTAAAGCTGCAGGGCTCACCCCTCCCTGCAGACTGCTCACACATGGTGACCCAGGACCCTGAGTTGCCGGATCCAGTCATGCACTTCTGGTCTGATCTGCTGTTGCCCTCAGCTGCCCCCTCCCTTCCCAAAACGCTTCCTTCTCACTTGCCTCCAGCTCCCTCCTGGTTCTTCTTGGCGTCACCACAAAGTGGACTGTCCTGTCCTCTGTCCACACACACTCCAGGTGACCTCTTGCAGTCCAGGATACGCATGGACTTCCACAGCTATCACCAGCCAGGTCCTCTTAGAGACCCGGCTGGGTGTCTAACTCGTCATGGCCACACCTGTGGCGAATCAGCCTGTCAAACCTAACTCAGCCAAAGCAGAGCTTGATTCCCGCACGTCCAGGCAGGTCTCTCCCAGCCTTTCCCAACCCTGTCAACAGCCGCACCAACCACCCAGTGCCTGAATCCCAAAGTCTAGGGGTTTTGTGTTTCCTCTCTCTTACCCTCAGCATCCAACCACATCTAGCAACAGCACAAATCCACTCACTTCATCCCAGCTCCTTCTGCCCTCTTCTCCGGACGGGTAACACTGACTTGAGAGATGGACCCCTGCTCCGACTTGTGCAGCACTGCAGGCCGTTCTCTGCAGAGCATGTATTTTAAAAATACAAATGGGGGTGCCTGGGTGACTCCATCAGGTGGGTGACCAACTCCATCTCAGCTTGTCATGATCTCAGGGTCGTGAGTGCAAGCCCTTCACTGGGCTCTACATGGGGCGTGGAGCCTACTTAGAAAAAATAAAAAAATAATAAAAAGTAAATAAAAATACAAACAGGATCTTGTCACTTGTCTGCTTCACTCTCCTTTCCTGACTGCCGTGGCTCCTGACCACCTCTCCAGCCCCTCTCCCTCCCGCCTGTTCTCTGCCCTCCACACACTTGGGCTTCTCAGCGTCTGACCCTGATGTGCTCCTACGTGCCCTTCTGTTCTCAGCTGAGATCTCCCTCCCTTGCAGAGGTTGTCTGACCCCTCCCTACACCTCTGGGGGGGTCTCCCTGTTACACTGGTGCTGGCTATACTGCTTTGACTGATGTCAGCCTCCACCTTAGGACTGTCAGCCCCAAGTGAATTTGTACTGCCGATGACAACTTGTGTCTTGGGGTCAGCGTGTGTCCTATTAGTCTTCCAGGGACCTCGTATAGGCAGTAAAAGAAAGTTTGCTGAATGACTGTGGAAAGGATGTGAAGAGAACACTGCAGAGTTTTCACAGCATTACCGCAACTGCCCTCCTGACGCAAACCAGATCTTGTGCCCTAGGACGGAACAGCTCTGTGTGCTGGGTAATCTTACAAAGGCTTCCCGAGTGCGGTCTCATCCAGGCTTACAAGCAAGATGGGCAAGACTTACCACCGACCTATTAAAGACGAGACAGCTGGGGCACACCCAGCTCCAGTGACTCGCTGGAGGTCCCGTGGCCAGGAAGGAGCAAGGCTGGGATTTGAGCCAGGAGCCAGCCCCAAAGCCTGCAGACGTTACTGTGGCAACACAGCGAGGGAAGGAGCAAGGCTGCTCTCCTCCGGGTGGGAACGACTGCTTCTTGGAATGGGGACAGTGCTTCCCGCCTGCTGGGGCTGCAGTACAGACAATCACGCGTCACCATTTGGGGGCCTCCGTCTTGAGCAGACTTGTTTTTTCCTATTAGGGAGGAGAGAGGGAGCTGTGTTATATTGTAAAAAAAAAAAAATTTGGAAAAGCAAGACCATCGGGATGCTCTGAAGAATTGTCATGGAGCCCAGCACTTGCAGCCAGAGCCCATTCGAGCAGGCAGACTCATATCAGAACAGCACTCATTGTATTCCTATGACCGTTGCTGGCCCACGGGATTGCTCCTTTGAAGGGAAGTCTTTTGAAATTGAACTACTCCTTCCAGAAGAATAGCCAGCAGCAGCCAAAAAATACGTTTTGCGACCAGAATTTATCACCCTAAAGTAGGCAACTCGGGAAGAATCTATTTAGATGTTCTGAAAGACAGATGGTTCCCGTCGCTGCAGCCCTGCCCGCGAGCACCGTTCTCCATCCCGGCTCTGTGAAGTGCTCCCAGCCCAGGGGCCCGCCAGCCAGCGGGGCAGGGCAACGGCACAGCAGAAGGCCAAGGGCCCCGAGACGCTGGAACATGAAGGATGTGGACGCTTCCTCTGCGAAGGCCCAGGGAGTAGATCTTTTAGGCTTTGCAGGCCAAGAGGCAAAATCAAGAAAAATAGATCAGTCCTTCGGTAACAACCATTTTAAAGTGTAAAAACCATTCTAAGCTCACAGAACATACAAAAACAGGCAGCAGGCTGGAACCCGCTGACCCCATTCTATCCCATTAATGATATTCACATTTCATCTGGTCACCAAGTACTTTATTCCCCTGGCCTGTGGGGAGAGCTCTGAAGGGTTTGAGATTTCACGCTACTAACGAGCTGTGGAGTGAGGCTGCCGTCAGCTCACCAATGCTGGCAGAAGACGCGAGTCTCCTGGGTCAGAGGCTCAGTGCGGGGATCAACTGCAGGAGTCGTCGTCAGCATGTCTGACAGGTTCCCAAACACCGGTTCCTGCTGGGGACACCAAGAGGCTGAGAGACACCTGCGTGCTCCGCGAGTTGCATTATAGGCAAAGAACCTTGAGCTTAGGACCCAAGACCTTTACGTGCTGGGCAGGAAGCACAGCTGCCCTTGCTCCAGGAAGATACTGCATCTGTCTCGCAAGGCCATTCACTAAAGAAATCTCCCTGACAGGCCCTTTAGGATCTCATCTGTGGCTGCGCAGAAATGTCAGAGACCCACGGAGAATTGTCTCCTGATGTGCTCCAGGGGCTTCTGTTTTATTTGCATTCAATGGATACAGTCTAAGCCATGTGGCAGAGGGCTCCCAGCCCTGCACGTCGGAAGTGTGGGCACAGCGGCTCTTCCTCTACTCGGCGTCCCACAGGCTGCACTCAGGGGTCACTGGGGCTGCGTCCTTTCTGGAGCATGGTTGTTGGCAGAACTCGTGTGGTAAATCTGAGATCCCCATTCTCTTCCTGGCTGCTGGCCAGGAGCGGCTCTCCCTGTCCAGAAGATGCCCTCAGTCCTCTGCCTGTAACATGGAAGCTCAGTTCTCTAAGCCAGCAGGAAAGGCTTTAGCCCTTTGAATCTCTTCTTCTAAGAAGACCTCACCTGATTAGTTCAGGCTCACCAAAGATAATCTCCACTTTGATTAGCTCAGAGTCCAGTGGTTTGGGGCCTTAATTACATCTGCCAGTAATCTAACCAGTGGTCAGATGCACCGTTCCACCTGCACTCAAGGGTCTGATACACTGGGGGGTGGAAATCTCAAAATGCTGCCTACCACATTAGTAAGTCTATGAATTGTCCTTATTCACCGTTGCGGTACCTGAGCAGAGACTGAAAATGGTTAAGACCAGTGGCACCTCTCTACTTTTATTTACCTGAGTCCATGTTTTAGATAGAAGCACAGTGAGTGAATGTCACTGTTTCGCTGGAATTAGGTTAAAAGACAGTAAAATGAACTCTACGAAAGCAAGTAGAATCACCTTTAATCAAGCTTAACACTTGCTGAAGCTTCTAGGTAAGCCTTAGAAAACGACCACACATTTTTTTGTTGGAAGGGAGGTTTGTGCCCTCACTCCGAAGCCAGTGTAACACTGTCCTTAGCAAGAGTGGCTTGTTTAGTGTCCCATGTCTAGCCCAAGCCCGCATGCCTAGCTACTGCCACGGCGCTGAGTACGGTCGGACTTTGCCACGGCGGCCTCACACAGTCCGTTCTTGAGAAGATGTCTGCCAGACACCCTCGCTGGAACACCCATGGTCATCTGGTGGCTAGTTGGGCTTGCAAGTCCATCGTACGGCTGTCTCTCCTAGCCACCATCACCCTTTGGTTTACAGTAGAAATGCTTTCTGTATGCCTACCATTTTGTCACAGAGAATATTACAACATGTCCACTCAAAGGTCAAGATTTAATAAAATTAAGTTTTACGGCTTCATCCAGGACATTCTATTTTTTTTTTTAAGATTTTATTTATTTGATGGAGGGGTGGGGAGCACAAGCAGGGGGAGTGGCAGGCAGAGAGAGAGGGAGAAGCAGGCTCCCCGTTGAGCGGGGAGCCCGATGCGGGGCTGGATCCCAGGACCCCGGGATCATGACCCGAGCAGA